GGGGGTGAGCCTTTCTTCTTCAACACGATCATTCTATTACTCTTGAGAATTGATTGAATAAACACTGACTTAAGCATCGGAGGCTCTTCACCGGAAAACCCCTCCGGTGTGAGAGTTCTTTGTAGGTACGCGACGTTCAACCGGCGAGAAGGAAGGCGATTACTCAAGTTCCAGCCGGTCGAGGAGTTTTGTGTTACCAATTATAATACTAGTACAACACCCGTGTATTAGAGCATCTCCAATGCTCAAATGTTGTTGTGGTAAAGTACATTCCACATCAACATATTTAGCAATAACACAATTTTTCATCCTCCAATGCACATTGTGATTACAAATGTTGTGATGATGTGGACATAATTAATGTCTACAATGTAGAGAAGAATGTGGTTCATCCACATTCTCCTCCACATTCTAGCTAGCCAATAAAAAGAAGAGAGAGATTATTCTTACCAATTCCTACTACATATTATAAAATATTAATATTTAGTAAGTAGATAATATTATAGTTAGACAACATTGTGCATTGAAGATAATTTTTTAATTTCGTAGTTGTAAAAATAATATTTTTCCTACACGGTTCACATTCCACTTAATTTAATGACATTTGTTAGAATTTATCAGTAACAATATTAGAGCATTGGAGATGCTCTTATACAGGTGCTTGTTAATTTTTTCTTAAAATTTAAAATTAATAAAAAAAGTGGTATAAAATTTAAATACTTTTTGTAGAATATATATTATTATATATTTTAGAATGATATTTGTTACTCGTGCGACTTACTTGTGTTATATTATAATATTTTTTCTAACTTATAACATATAACTATTTTAAAAATAAATATATTAATTGAGAAATAATTTTATTTTCTAATTAATATTAATTAATAATTTTATTATTATTATTATAAAGATAAATATAATTTATTTATACATACAATTTAAATGTTAAATCGAAACTCATCAAAAGATGATTAATTTGATATATTATACATATAAAACCGATAAAAAATACAAAAGTTATCAACTTTTAAAACACATTTACAATTAAATGGTTATAATAGAAAAGGATATTAAAATATAATTAATACATCTAAAACGATCATAAATAATCAACATGTTTATAGTAATCCGGACATAATTATTTTTTGATTGAATTAAACTAAAATCTATCCAAGCCAAATAATGAAGCATAGAATTTTGACACCTATGATTCCAAAGCATGCAAATCTGCCACTTAGACTCAACACATTCGAAAATTATATATAGGAGGATTAAATAATAAATGCGATATTCATAATTTTATATACTACATTACAATTAAAAAATAAAATAGAAGGTAGGTTTTACTTAACCATTTTATCAATTTACAAAAGGACTGAATTGCAAATTGTCAGACTCAAAATCTGCGTCCAATCGCATTTTTGCATTTCATTAGAGAGGAGACGAAGATCAAATTTTGCCATTGGGAGAGATTTTTTCAACAGATTTTGAGTTTTACCGTTCGGGAGAAGATCTTAATCATTCACACTCATATGGTGAAAAATTATCATCCGCAAAGTTGAACTTTGTAGTTATGACATTACTCCAAAGTAACAAAGATTATCATTAAATGAGAATTTCTTCAAATAATGAAAAGCAAAATGCCAACCATCCACATTACCTTCATGTTTTCATCTTCAATTAGATCAACAAAATACCCTAAAATCCAACTGCACAACAGCACAAAAGTGATATGACTACCATATACAGATTTGCAATGAAAAGGTTTAAAGGAGATTTAACAGTTGCAGTTTGTAACACATGACGACTTAACAGCAAAATGTTTCAGCAGATGATTTGAGGTGGCTCGAAATTCTTGAATCAGTTTTAGTGGATCGTCTAAGTAGTGAGTTATTCCTCCATGTTTCCCTGCCTTGAAAATGTCACTCGCGACTAGATTAGTAATCAAGGAGAGTTCGTGGAGTGAGTTAGTAAAGTTTTGAAGTCGTATTTAAGTCGAATCGAATGCAAGACAGGCTTCTTTTCATATTCGAATTAAATTATGGAAAATTAAATAAAACTGGTATTTTGGAATCCTAAAAATGTTTCATTTCCAGTAAAAAGCTGATACAATCTTTGTTGTATTTTTCTTTTCATTCTCAAGTGTTTGCAACCACTTCCCCGATTGAAAAAATTCAGGATCAAAAGTTTTTTTTTGGTAAAATTAGTAAGATTCTACAGACATACCATATATGATTCACTTGCTTGTGCTGCCTTGTAGAAGATAAGAAGCCTTGCTGCGAACCTGCACAAAGTATATTTCAGAGCAGGTCTAGGTGGCTATGCCATGTTTACTATATTATTTACACATTTTTTTTTTCTTTTTTTTTTTTTGTGTGTGTTTTCTTTTATTTCGCATTCTTTTTCCTTCTGTTGAAGAAAATGAATACACAAAGATGATTTTACGAGTAGCAAGCAGAACTACTCGATTAAAGTGACAAGCCCCCAGTTGGTAGTTGCTAAATAACTCATTTAAAGCTGAAATATGAGTGGGGTATGAAAACGTGCAACTTTTTTTCGGCTTACGTACATTAGAAGCATAAGACCTCAAATCGGTGATAGAAATCCCACAAGAACAGTTCCTGAGACAGATATTCCATAACTTGCTTATCTCTGCTTTATCTTTTAATGTGGGTTCAAAGAGAAGCCAGTTCTCAGCCAGGTTCAGACATATATACATTTGGAAGAGGTCACAGTCCTTGTCCTTTACGTTTATCGAGGTTAGTGATCTCAGGATTTCCTCGGCATCATTTGCCTGCAAATGAGGAACATAAGATTCAGTAATAGGTTATGCTGTTAAAAATGAGAACGTGTAATCATCTTTCAAAGATCCGCTTCAAAAAGAACATGATGAAGTTCCGTTCTTCAAGCTCTGGATGAGAAAAAGAAGTTGGTAAAGTTCGCAAATAAATACTACAATTTGTTGAAGTCAAGGACAAGTGTGTTGGTCGAGTAAATGAAAAGGGCTTTATTTGTGTTTTTGTGTGTGAAAGCTAAATAACTAAGTACATTAATGGAAGTAAGAATTTTCAAGCACTTGAATATGATTTTTTT